AAGCCAAGGTGCATCTCACTGCCCACCTGCACAGGCTGGTTCACCCCATTGGAACAGCACCCAATGAAGGCCAATGAGAACTACCATGCAACTCAGCAAACCCACCTCTGGATACTTATCCAAGGAAAATGAAACTGCTAGCTTCCCAGTCTTAAATTATCCCCCGCGGTGTTGCCATCCAAAATTGGACTCAACAGAGCATTCCCTATCTTCCTTGGATAGCCTGGAAAAATGAAAGGAATGGTACCCGCCGAGACCCAAGGAAGGCGCCAGGGTTACTAGCTCGGCAGCGTTAGCTGAGCCACTACTGTGTTCGAGGTTCCATGCCAAGTCCACGCCGGGACAGGATGAAGCAAACTCTCCCACCACATGAACAGGGACACAGGGAAACCGAGGGCAGTGACACGGGAACAGCTGGCATGGGAGGCCCAGGCCGAGGGCTGTGAATGAAGGAAAAAGGAGGGCTTCCTGCTGAGTAGGCGATGGCAGAAACTACGGAGGAAGTGTTAACTGGCTTGGGTGGGACTGTGAAAGGCAGGGCTGGGCAGGGACACGTTCCAAAGGGAAGGAACAATATGTGTAAAGGCCTGAAGTCCTTGGCCTATTCCAGGAGATCAGAGCGGCCAGCATGACTGAAACCAGACCCAGAGAGCAATAAATTAGTTCAACATGAGGCCGGAGAGCTAAATCGGGACTAGACACCGAAAGGTGAGGAGTATTGTTCCAGGGAGGACAGGCTGGGCGCGTGGGGCCGATGTGACCGATCCTGACTGTGTTAGACCCCTTTACCTGGTGATGCTGGGGACCGCAGGCCTCCACATTAGCCACCATGATTGAACAAAACCCCGGGACCTCCAACAGCTATGGTTCAATCACAAGACCTGAGGGCAGAAGGGGCCAGTGGGAGAGCTGGATGCCCTCTTGATGCTCAGAATTTTTCCAGAAGGTGCTTTCTGTCAGCGCAGGCTTGGTGTGAGCTCCATAGTCCTCAGTCTCACTGGAATTTGGGGGAAACCTGCCCACACACAGTCAGAGCTACAGCACCCTGATGCCTCCTCACCATACCCCAAGTCACCCCTCCTTAACTCCCCCAACAGATTTTCAACCTGATTCCGTCTCCTCCTGATGGACCAGTCCAAGTCTGTGAAGTCTCTCCAAAACAGGAGGGGTGCTTGAAAAAAAACCTCTCGTGTCTCAAAAGATGTAGCAGAAAAGACCATGAGCACAGCCTGAATAGCCCCGGGGAGCAGGGCTGCCTCACTTTCTGAGGGTGGTATCCAAGGTCAGAGAGCTGGACGGGGAGGTGGGGGGTTCGTCCTTGTGGGCAGAGAGCACCACCAAATGGGATTCTCGGCGAGGGCCCATCCTGAAGTTACCTACGTGACGTGAAATCCTAGCCTCTAACCCAGCACCCAACCCCACCCTGGGGTGTAGGGGTTGCAGCAACAGTGAAGCACAAAATCCCCGGCAGCACAGCAGTTCACTGGCCGCAGAACTGTTTCTCTCCCCACACCACCACACAAGGGGAACACCATTGTTTTCTCAAGCCCACTGACCGATGGGCACCTCGGGGTCAGATCGCAGCCTGAAACTAGCTGCCCATGTCCCTCTGAACACTGTCACCCACGCCAGGCCTCCAGGACAGCCACGAGGATCCCAGTCCCAAACCTCAACTCGGAGAACTTCTGACATTTAACTTAATCCCCTTTGGATCCCACTCAAGGAAAACCTCAGAATAACTTCTGCCCTGAGAGTCTTCCCGGAGTCAGACACGGCGTCAGGTGGCCAGGCGAAAGCTCAGCACAAAACCCCGCAAAGGTACAAGCCCAGGACACTGATTTTCAAAGGGCATTTGGACCTTTACAAGGGGGGGACAAAAAAGACAAGAATTTATTTGTTAAAAATTGTATACTTATTCTTCCACATTGAAACTTCAGTCACCTCCCAAGTACTCTCCATGATGCAATACACCTACCGAGACTTTTTTCCCCACTGCTCAAAACAGTTTTTGAACTTGTCGCTTTTGATGCCTTTTAGTTCTGCTGCTTTTTGTTTCACCTCTTCCACATCCACAAAACTTTTCCCCTTGAGCGACTTTTTTCATCCAGAAAAACAAAAAGAAGTCACTCAAGGGGTGAGATCTGGTGAACAGGAGGGTGGGGCACGGGTACCATGCCATGTTTGGTCAAGAACTGCTGAACACTCAGTGTGGTGTGGGCAGGTGCACTCGTAAATTACCCATCATGAGATGGGCAAACGCACTGAATGAGTCTTCAGAAAAATTTGCTGGAACCAAATGCAGCCTCTCCCAACAACGCCAGCTGGTACATTGCTGCAGATGGGTTCTAAGAACACTCACCCAGCAGGGAAAGCCTGTACTCTAAAGGGCCCACCCTCCAGGAAGCAATTCCAGGTTTTGGGGGGGCCTCCCCCTCTTATATAATCTTGTTTTTTAGTGCTCATACTTTCAGGCTGCAGTCCCCCAGAAATATAAAAGATCTTTAAAAAGATCATCTTCTCCCTTAGAATATTTTAATTCACTTTTGGGGGGGGGTCAAAACAATAAAAATAAACAGAAAGGTCCTTTCCAGACCAGCTCTCTGAGTATGAGCTGTGGACCAAAGCGCCGGTCCCTCTAAGTTTAACGCACTGAGGCAGAGCGCAGCCTCAGACAAGGCTGAAAACAGGAAAGACTCAGTGGAACGTGTTGATTAAACTCCTCAGGAAGCTTCTTTAAGATTTGTCATACAGACCCAGCAGGCACCCAGCTACTGCACTGTCCCCATATGCTGGTCCGGGCACATATAATACAAGAACCGACCAGCGAGCGCATAAATAAGAGTAACAGCAAACCGATGCTTCTCTCTCACTCTCCCTCTTCCCTTTTCTCTCTCTCTACAATTTAAAAACCAAAAAAAACTTGTTACACAACTTGACCTTCCACTAAAGTTCACCTACTATAAACTACTTGTAAAAAAATAACAGCCCCTGGCTGGGTGGCTCAGTTGGTTGGAGCATTGTCCCATACTCAGAAAAGTGTGGGTTCAATCCCCAGTCAGGGCACATACCTAGGTTGTGGGTTTGATCCCTGATAGGGGTACATATGGGCTCTCACAACAATGTTTCTTTTTCTCTCTCTCTCCTTTCTTCCTTCCCTTCCTCTCTCTAAAATCAATAAACATATCCTCAGGTGAAAATTTTTAAAATGATAATAAGATATCATGGAGAGCATGCCCTAAAAATCAATATGTGTTTCAGATAAGAAATGATGATATGAGTTCTATCACTCACTTCAAGCTTTATGATCAATGATAATTCTATACGCTGTGTCCAAACCAACCTCAGTTCTTTAGTCAAGTCTGACCAACTATATGAACAAATGCTTCAGCGCCCTCTGCTGGCCACTTGACACATCTACTCAGCTCGTGACTCTTCCCAACAGGCAGCAGCTCCCTTTCCAAGGTCAGATGGCACACCAAGGCCGCCCCATCCCTCCTCCAAAGCCACCTGTGCTACAGCTGAGCCAGGAGTCAGCAGGACGAATCCTGAAAGGCTCTCCTCTGGCAGATGGCACAAACACCACCCTGGCCCCGGCTGGCCTGACCAACCCCCACCTGCAGGCCTCATTTTTACACTCACTGCGTCCTCAGTGGGCTCAGCCCTGTGACCCCCCTGCCTGGCTGCTCTTCCAGCCAGCTCTGGAGGGGTGTCTGGAGAGACCAGCCCACCTATCGGGCATCACCAGAACACACAGAAACTCAGAGGTATGATAAACCTCCTGCCCCTGGGTCTATCGTAGCCAGATTTGGGGGGAGACAGGGGGGCAGAAGAGACCTTCTCCTCCCCCGGGACCTCATGACAGAGCAACCTCTAATCATCCACAGTTCCCTAGAGAAGGTGAGGCTCCTCTGGTGTATCAAACATGAGAAACCCCATAAGTTCTCATTACACGGCCCCCTTTCTTACAGAAAGGAAAACACTTCGAGTCGGCACGGTATTCACTGTCCAGTAACACAAGGACAGGCAGAGAGGTAAGACCGTAAAAGGTGGGATGTAAAAGGCGCTAGATCAAGCTAGTGTTTATTAATGAATAAGTGCTTATTGGTTTGACATCTATCACTCATCGAGTGCAAACTATTCTTTAGAAGAGGCTGTAGTAATGGACCGGAAAATAATGCCTGACATCGAAAAAGTTCACAATTTGGTTGCAAAGACCAAACGTGTGAACAGAAAAAATGGCCAAGTGAGAAAGTGCCATATCCTTAAGTGAGAAATATGCAGGGTCCAGCAGAAAGGCCCGAGTGTGGCTGGTCAGGCAATGAGAGGGGCGTCATAATTTACAGACTTACTCTGAACACTTCACCTAAACTGTCACAGGGTATGCTTGAGTATGATCTTGTTATGTTACAGCACCCCATGCCTGCGATTTTGTGATAAAAAAGGGGGACATTGTTTGTGCCGGACCTGAATATACTGGAAATTCCATAAATAAACACACATGAAGCTCCCCTCTCTTTCTCTCACACATATGGGAAAATGATCATCATAATATTCATAATTACAGTCATCTCTGGCGGGACTCCAGATCTGCACTTTTCCTCCATAGTTTTCAGTACTGTTTGAATTTCCTACAATAAACAGGTGGCAGCATACCAAAGAGAACTCTATATACATCAAGGATGTATATAGAGGAAATTATGTACAAATATAATCTATTTTATGTACAAATAAACGTACCTGTGTTCAAAGAACGTGATCTGTGAACACAGATAAAAATATACAGAAAAAAAGACTGGAAGCAAATATACCAAACCATCAATGATCATTTTTCTCTAGGGGCTGCCACAGTTTGGTCTTTTCTGACTCTTGTGCACTTTCTCATGTTCTAGACAGCAAATTGAGCTTTACTTGAAGAAATTCAAATGTGAAACAATGACTGACCCTCCCTGGAAGATGTCCCCAGCCACAGCGCCACGGCAGGGCCAGGGGCTGGCACACACCTGGAATGAGGGCGGTACTGATGAGAATGTCCACCTCCTTGCACTGCTGAGCAAACAGCTTCATTTCAGCCTCGATGAACTCCTTGGACATCTCTTTGGCGTATCCTCCTTGTCCCTCACCAGATTCCTTCACGTCCACCTCTAAGGGCTCGGCACCCAGAGACTTGAACTGCTCCAAAGCTGCAGCTCTGGGATCGTGGGAGGGAAAGCAGAGGTTGTGTTAAGGCCTTGATACAGACTCCAGATCCTCGGTGCATTTTTTTTAAAAGAAAAGGTTTTATATGTTCAGAAAAGTGCAGACTTTCTTTGATGCCTCTGACTGGACTGTTGCAGTGTTTTTCTAAAGGGAGGTAATGCTTTTTATGATGATTTTTTTTTTGACACAAAAGAAACTAGAGAACCTCTTTGTCAAATGACAAAAGGAATCTCACTCTTTCCACCTCCAGTAAAGCCACCATGCACTGTGAGGCTCCCCGGTCACTGACGATGAGCAATCTGACCGACACTAAGATTGGACTTCATTCAAATCACTCAAGTGGAGGTTTTCATTGGCAAATGCTCCAATTTATGGGGACTTGTCTCACGTGAATAACTCTTACTTAAACATATTTTACCGGAATAATTTTGGCCCCAAGTGCAAATTAAACCGTGTTTGAAAAAAGCTACTTGTCAATGGTATAAATGTAGAGTCAATATGTTCAAATTATGTAAAAATACATTCAATTTAAGTACATATAAAAAACATTGTGGCCATGCATTGCGTACCAGCTGGAAAACTGGAGCCACCAAAGACCTCAGCTCTGCGGTGCTCACCTGGCCCACACCCGTCCTGCAGCGGATCCCAAACTCCCCCAGTGGCAACAGTCACCCCAGCTCCCTGGTGAAAACTCAAATTCCCAGGCGCCTCCCCAGACCCATTCAATTACAACCTCCAGCAGTGGGTTTGGAAGTTATTCTTGCCACGGGGGGACTTCGGGAAACTGTGGTCTGAGCCCATCAGTCCCTGGCAACTGTCCTGGTCAGGAAGCAGATCCAAAGGGCAGGACACAAAGGGCAGGGCAGGACATGGCTGAGCAAGAGGATCTGTCCCTTTCTGCTGGCACACGGGGGGGGGGGGGGGGGGTCTGCTGAAGCCCAGAGGAGCCAGAAAGACCCTGGTCCCGGCCAGCACATGGAACTACTGCCTGGGGCCTTCCCATGAATTCCCATGGAGGAGAAATGATATATTTTATGATAACTGAAGCCAGTTTGAATGGGTGTCTGCTACTCCTCACAGCCAAAGGGATACAGCTCTTTAAACAGTTTAATAAGAAATCACTACTATTTTTAATAAGATTCATTCAAAATGATATGCATGTACCCGTGTGTGAATGTACATAAATATATATCAAATGATCCCGATTTCGTTCCAAAGATATCAAAAAATATCAAAAAATATCAAAAAATCATTAGCAATTATATCTGGCAGATAGAATTATGAAAGTTATTTTTATTTTCTCCCTTATGTTGCTCTGTATTTTTCAATAATGAACGTGTATAATTAAGTACTCAATGCCATTTTAGAATCTCTGCCCTCAAAATAATCTCACAGTTTTACAATATTATATCTCAATATTTAAGATGTGAATACCTTTTGATGCAAAAATTCCAATTCTAGGCATTTATCCTGAGGAAATGATGAGCTATCTCCAAATACACCTGTTCATACACACACACAACACACACATACATGATGGAATCCTATGCAGCATTAAAAGTATTTACAGGTAAAGAGCTTCAGAATCCACTGTTAAGTAAAAAGAGTTAAACGTACTATTAGTAAAATCACATTTTAGTGAGTGTGTGGGAAAGGGAACAGGTACTAGGACACCAATAGTCACCTCCAGGTGGGAGGATTTCAGGGTATTTTAGTTTCACTTTGTGTACTTCTTATTTTTGTGGATTAGGAAAATAAGCATGCATAATTCTTTATGATCAGAAAGTAAAGTGGGTAAGTTATGAAGTTAACATACATGTTTTTAATCATGTAAAATAGGGCTAATTAACCCTACTTTGTAGAATTATTGTAAAGAATAAACCGCAGCACATAGCACAGTGCCTGAAAGATAGTCAGCGTTTGCAACAGGCGTCTGAAGACAACTGACAGCCCTTGACCTGCCAACTACTTTTGTAAATGAAACTTCATTGGCACAAACACACACAGAGAGAAAGGTAAGGAAGAAAATGATACTTTTCTATTTCTAACTTTGTAATCTAGGCGTTAGGCAAGACACTCACTATTGTTATAAGGGGAATCTCCCAGCTATCTGAAAGAATTTAAAAATCATGCCCCATTAATATCACTGGCCAGTGTGTTATCCTTAGGTTTTTAGATGTTTAACTAAAAATATACATCATTCGGTTTCCCAAAAAGAATTTATAATCAAGTATGTTCTCTAATACATTTGGATTACATATTTATAATATGATACCAACCCCCAGTCTCGAAATAGTTATTCATGAACTACTCTTGGAAAAGTATTATATCAGTTAAATTGCTTCCTTCTTCATTGTGTACTTGAAGTACCTTAATGAAGGTAAATAAAAATGGAGTTAAACAACAGCTATATTCTAGCTGTTTTTTCTATACACAATCTAAACCAATGATCTCAATTAATAAGTTCTCAGTAGTTAACCCAACACCAAGTTTCGAATTATCTCTTAGTCAAGTAAAATATATACATTTCCATTTTAAGAACATTGCCCACTACAGTGAGGACTTGAACAACCTGCTCTCCCCAGGCTTGGGGGCCTTCCAAAACTTCACATCAGCAAACACCAAAAATTAAAAGACAGGACTGATGGTATGTGTAACTCTGGCTCTCCTCGGCCCTCGTCCTGGTGACCTTGGAAATGCCTTTTCCTGTTTCTGCAGGACAGCTTTTTATTAGCACATCACTTCTTCAGATCCCCGGAGAGCACTGTGAACCATATTCTACAGAACACTTTTTACTCTGAAAAGTCACATCCTTTCCACCCCTGAGTGGTGGTAAATTTTTCTGATCATTCTATGTTGCAGATCAGCAGTGGTATTATTCCTCCGCTGACCTCAGCTGAAAATAAGTAACTCCAAGTTTCAACCTCGAGGAAGAACTAGAACACAAATGACAACAATATTCAATAAGCATTTAATGAAATCCAGTATCTAGTGTCTTCTGAAAGAAAGATTAATTTAAATGGAACTTCTCTTTAACAAAATTCTAGGAAAATGTTGATATGTCCACTTTAAAGAACTATGCAATGAATACGAACAAGTACTTTTGCCTAAGGATTCTGCTGTTGCCCAATCAGCTTTATCTGCGTCTATCCAATCAATGCAGAGCATGCCCCTCACACACACCCCCCAGTCTATTCTCTAAGGTGTCTCCTATGCTCCTTCTTCAGGCTCACAAACATCTTTGTTCACATCCAACCTGATGCCAACTCATTCTGAGCAGAGATAGGGCACAGGAGAGCAGGACGTTAGAAGCTGAGCACAGAGATAACTCTGGTCCCATGTCTAATCCACATGAAGAAAAAAACTGAGTGTGAGCTTTCAATCCTTTTGTTTTGTGGTGGTTGTTTTTTTTTATTATGTCTGCTGTACTGAGTCTCGGTCTTTAAATGTTTTCCACTAAGGAATACATTTTCACTTTGAGTTAACTTTGAAAAAGTGGGCACATTTTAAAAGGTTTCCATGAGCTCCTTAAACTAATAAATTCCATGAAAAGCATCCCCCTGAAATGTGTTCTTCCCTTGACAGCCATCGCCAGGAAAGCACTCACCTCGTGTCGAACCCTCGCACAATCGCCCCCATCGACTTGGCTGCCCCGGCAGAGGCGAGCCCGGCAACACCCCCGCCGATTATCAGGATCTGGGAAGGAAGGCAGAATGGGTACATTTTCAATCACACTCATTACCAACTGATGACGAAAACTCATCTGCTAATAACTGTTCATGCCTGATGAACAGTCAGCTTTCAGTAACAAACCAGATGGTGCTCACGGCAATGACCAGCCCTCACAGAATGTACTGAGTGGACAGACAGCTGTTTAAGCAAAGGCCACTGTTTCTTTAAAATTTATCAAAGGAACACTCCAGCAAAGGCATCAGCTGTCACCAAAAACAGCCCAACAACCAGCATCTCAGGGTAAAGCTACACCCAGCAAGGTCAGCATTATTACATGTGTGAAAGGTCAACAGGTTCTTTCGGAAAAGCTCCTGAACATTCCCAGTGCAGCATTCTGGCTCCCCCTCACCTCTCAAATGGTTGGGTTTTACTAAGCTCATAAAATGCCAAAATGAGTTTCAAAGATGGATATGACTTTGGTGAAACATCTACTCCAACCCTGACTTTGAGCTCAAATGCTTCTGAAAGGAACAGCAGGTAATCACCGCCTAATTTTGACCCATTCTGAATGAATTATACCTGAAATACAAAGATTAAATGTCATTAATCTCCCTAACCACAGGAGGCTCAGAGCCAAGGAAACCAAAGAATTCCTCAGACACAAGAGTCTGCCCTGCCTTCTAAGAAACAAAATGAGAACAACTTTGTCTCCGGTGTGGAATAAGCCATCAGAGAAAAGCCCTATTATGCTTCCCAGTCAAGTGAAGGCAACTCCTTGTTGAGGGAGGGAGAGAGGGTGGGAGAAAAGAAAGAACACAGAGAAAGAACACCACCCACAGACACAGGGAAGCTGACAGACTCCTACACAACCCATCATGCCCACCCCCCCTTCCCCGCTGTCAGAACACTGGACTGGTCCAATGGTGCTCCAGTGACCCCGGGCAGCGTCTCAAAAATCCTCTGAGTTGCTCTTACTGGTGATGGTTTGTTTTGGATTTTTCTTAGAGGGGGTGGGAGGAGGGGCACGTGTCTACAAAGGGGACAAAGAGGGACCAGAGGGGACAAACAGCTCTGGCAAAAAGACCCTACAATTTGAAAGAGGGAATGGCACTAGAATAAAGAAGTGTAACCTTACAAGAGGAATATACCCTTTCTCTCTTGAAACACTTAACACTTTCTCCACCTGACCTGTGTTTAAAGCAATTAACTAACTCGATTTCTCAAAGCGGCTGTTGTCTATTTCATTTTCCTAGGTGATTCGTTTTGTGCAAGAACGTTGGATTCATAATGACGGAGCACTTAAAAGCATGGTGCCCGTGTGCACCTGCGCCCCACGGACAGGTACGCTCTGCAGGTGGATGACAGCAATGAGAGTCCTGCTCCCTGTACCATCCAAGGTGCTCATGTGGTCACTGTGTGTAGGAAGGGTTGGGGGTCACCACGTAACTGCTATCACCTGGCCACCCCCACCTCTCAGCCCTCCACTCTGCTCTCAGTTCAGATTAAAGAAACTGCACCCTCCCCCCTGCCAAATATCCTGATTACAGCACCTCCGTCTCCTGTCCTCGTGACCCAAAATTAGACATAAAGGGAGAAAACCAAAACAATCTTCTCAATGAACCAAAATGTCACAATAATTGGGAAATCAAGAATTTGCTGAATGGTATCTTGAAGCTTTTTCTTTAAATAGTAATAAATGGGAAACACAGAACAAGTTATCCAAAATCCCTTTAAGAATTCAAGGAAATCAAAACCAGAAAAGAGACTAGAATGTGTACGAATGTCAACGATCTTTTTTTTCAAGCAATCTTAAGCAGCTCTGAGGCCCCACCACACATCTGTACAAGCCACAAAGGTCATCGGTGCAGCGGTTACATAACAAGCTGGGAGAATAGCTGTCTTTTAAAACCCTACACACCCTCGCCACTAATGAGCTCCTACTAAGAGAAATGTGCCAAGTTTCACCTACCTTCGCCGGAGGGACTTTCCCTGCAGCTGTGATCTGACCGGTAAAAAAACGTCCGAAATGATTTGCTGCCAGTACAACAGCCTTATAACTTAAAAAAAAAAAGAAAAGAAACAAATGCATGAATAATTCCATAAAGCGAAAGATGGTAGGCTCACACATGCTCATAAGTCATCCATTATAACTGAATCGTCAAAGAATAATAGCTAACGTTTTATAGAGTACCTACTATGTGTCAAAAACGGTTCTAAGTGCTATAGATACACTTACGCCTTTACCCTTCACAACAATCAGGTGCATATGTACAATTATTATCTTCATTTACCCTTCACAACAATCAGGTGCATAGGTACAATTATTATCTTCATTTACCCTTCACAACAATCAGGTGCATAGGTACAATTATTATCTTCATTTTGCAGGTAAGGAAACTGACACCCAGAGAGATGGAGAGACCTGCCCGAGGTGCCTCAGTTCGTGAACAGCAGAGCCAGAAGGCTAACCCAGCATCCACCCTACAGAGACAAATTTTTATCCTTGATGTTCCCCACCTTCTTTATAACAAATACTGCAGAAGGTCAGTTATGATTGAAAAAAAAAGAAAGACAAGAAAATGCTCACAATGCTTTTCTTTGGATGCTAGGACCACAGGCATTTCAAACCTTCTGTTTTACTTTATTAGAGTGGCTGAACTTTCTTTGGTGATGATACAGTATTTATAGAACAGGAGGAAAAGTTTAAAATTAAAAAATTAGTTTTGCTATATGCTTGTATATAATAAAATTCCAACTCCAACCTCAGAAGAAAAATAGAAAAAAAAATGACTCCCTTGATCTATACTGGTTGAAAGCAGGGATTCTGAGATGGAGGGGCCTCAGGTCACAGAGTCCTCCCGCTGACTGGGTGACCATGGGCATGTCTCCTTAATGCTCTAACCCTTGCTTTCCTTGTGTATGAATTGGGGACAAAAAGAGCATCTCTCAGGGTTGCCACGAGGACCCAAAGCTTGTCACAATAAGTGCTTGGTAAATATTAGTGTTTCTAGCTAAATACACGCCCCATGCCATAAAAACTAGTAGAATATACCATCTTTTCCTTAACAGGATAATTTTAACACATCACACAAATTTCACTGTCATACCATTTTAGACCTAAAAGACACTTTTACACATTCTCACTCAGTAACACACACTCTAGCTTCATATTATAATACAACTATTTAATGGTAAGCTCCACCTGCTAGCTTACAATAAAACCTTTGCTTAATCATATTTTTACAAAACAAATATTACTGGTCATAATAATTGGTGCAAAAGCATGCACTGTTTTAAGTTAAATTATATTAAAAGCCAGAAAATAATATTTTAGAGACTACATGATTTGTTAGTCTATTTCTGAATCCAAGTGATAGAAATTCTCAAACATGACAAACCAAACATGACAAAGAGTCAAAGGCCACTGTAAGAAATTTGGAATTAAAGTTTTAAAAGATGCCGTTGCTACACTGAAAAACATAACAGAGTTGATTGCACAGGAAATGCACAAGAAAACACTGATGGTGGGAAAAGGTGAAAGTGGGCTTGTCTTTGGTGAGAGCGACAAAGCTCAGAATCCACATCAATGAACTGGAAGGAAAGTGTCTTCAACATAGTGTGGCAGTGTGTGTATGTATGTGTGTGTGTGTATGTATGTGTGTGTGTGTGATTTAGACAGAAAATGACTTACCACACATTGTGTGACAAGAATACTAGATAATACATCTCAGACTATACCCTTTGCACATGTCAGCTGAGGACATGAGTAGTGATTCTTTAAGTTGTGTTCCCTGGGTCCCCACAGGTTCAAATTCCATCCAGCCCAGGGGCCCTAGGGGGTGGGCTAGAGAAGGGACATATTTCTGCACACCCCTCCACCCAGCTAAGACCACTCCGTCCTGAGTGGGCTTGTTTCTATTACCTCATCGCACTTCATTTGCTCAAAAGATTCTGCAGCTAAAAACCACCAGTCTACAGCTACTGGTTTTGATAATCTTTCCCAAATGTACATTTCACATGACAGCATCAACAGCGCCCTTAAAAGTTTACATTGTACATTTTCTATATAAAAGTTTAAGTCCCTCATTGCAAAACTTTTCTACAAACTAATATGGCAAACATTTATTTAGTTCCTTTATATATAATATATATCACAAAAAATACCTTTAAACCAACCATTTGCCATATTACATTAAGAACAACGAATGTGTTTTCGCTTTGTCATTTTACTTTATCGATCTCATTTGCATCTCAAGTGAACAGCTAAAACCCAAAGTAGAGTCTGTGGCATATGACATGTGACACCTAAGATAAAAACCTAAGAAAACTTTCAGCTCGTGCGCCAGGCTTTATTCGAATTATTCTTCTTATCATGAAACGTCTTTTTAAACATTGTCATTTGTTGGTGCCTCACTCATATTAGCAAACTGTCACTACTAGTAGTTTTCATGTTTAAAATCTCATCCAGCTACTTTCTTAGATGAGCTGATTTCACAGGCATCCTCCGATTTCCAGATCCTTCCCACGCTCCAAGCCGAGTGAGCACCACGCCCCACTCCCGGGGCTGTTCCCATCCCTCCCCAGCGGCAGGCAGGACCACGCAGGGCCCGATTCATCACAGCAGACAGGCCCTAACCAGGACGACTCTCCACCCAGCGCTCCAGGCAGCAGACTCAGTGCGTCAGTGCCGGACCGCAAATGAAGCTTTTCACCCTCTTGGCCATACAGGTCGGAGGAAACAGTTCGCTTACAGTGCAGACATTTCCCCTATCAAGTATTTTATGAATTTACTGGAGCAAAACCTAATTAAAATGCTGAAATCTGCTACTATTTATCTACTAGATCAAAACATAGGAAACTGCCAATATCCAACCATTTTTGGCCTATAAAAACAGCAAATTATGTTAACGAAGCTCAGTGGGGTAATCATTTCACAACGCATAACATGATTCTACATGTTCTCCTTAAACTTCCACAGTGCTGTATGTCAGTTGGACCCCAATGACCCTGGGGAAAAAACAGTTCTTTCAACCTAACGTATACATGTATGCACCCACAGATGAAACACAGCCAATGCCTCTTACAAACGATCGGTCAGTTATTTCCTTTCCTGGGAAGAAATACTCCTTGCCTTCTACCCATGACGATTAAAAAGGCGCATATAACATGGAGAACCATTTCCTATCTGAGGACTGGGAAACAATAAAATGAGTCTTAACCATTTCAATGCACTCTCCAAATGCTACAGTCTCCAGCCATGGCTGCAAGCAAAGTCACTGGAAGAGAGAAGAGCTAGGAGAGCGTGTGCTCGCCCCTCCGGCTGGGCCCCGTGGAGACAGAAGAGACCTACCCGGCGATGTTGGCCATGGAGCTCAGCGCGTCGTACCCCTGCGCAATCGTGACTCTTGGGACCTGGTCCATCGCTAGAACGGTGGTTTTCCTTTTAGAAAGTTTGTCTAGCAAGTCTGGATTCTGGGCCGGATAAATAAAGCTAATCAGCGTTCCCGAGCTCTTTAAAAGGTCTGCTTCATGAGCATTTAATTCTGGATTGAGCATGGGGGCTCGCACCTGAGGAAAAAGTCAAGTCACTGATTAGAAATGCAAATACCTTTATGACCTTTTTTAAGTAAAAAAGATGATTTGAATAATATGGCAGGACAGAAACAATACTCCGGAAGTGATCTTTCGGCAATGAATTTCTAACTAAATTCCTACACAAGGGTAAGGCACTGGGACTAGTTTGACAATGAACTACAGGGCAGAGGAAACACATGCAGGTTCTGCAATGAACCTGTCCTCCCCAAAGCTGTGGCTCTGGTATGACTAAGGGACATTATAACACGCAGGACGTTTTGGTTGTGTATTCAAAGATTCAATGCTTCTCACTTCGAGAAGCATAAACATTTGGGGTATTGAGAGGTTAAGAACATTATAAGCTAAAATCTCCTAGTCATATGTATAGATTTATATCACTAACACTCCAGATGAATTCAGGGTCTGGCAGAAGTAACGCCTGCCTGGGTGTGGTGGGTAGGGTAATAATAGGGGTGTAATAATTTATAGTTTTATTTTCAACATTTCACCTAAAATGTCATATGGTGTGCTTGAGTGTGATGTTGTTATGTTACAGAATTATATGCTTATGGTTTGTAATAAAAGCTTCTGCAACATAAGAGGGGCATCACTTGTGGCAGACCCTGTATTTATAGACAGATGAAATCAAAGTATCACTGAATTGGGTGTAAGCAAAAAGCTACAATAAACTGTTTTGTCACTTATGTTACTTAAAGTATCAAGTCAGTCAACAAATACTCCACATACTTGAAAGTTCCAAATATCCACATTTTCAAGGCACTTTTAAAAAAATATTTTATTTATTTTTAGAAAGAGGAGAAGGGAAGGAGAAAGAGTGGGAGAGAAACATCAATGTGTGGTTGCCTCTCATGTGTCCCCTACTGGGGACCTGGCCTGCAACCCAGGCATGTGTCCTGGCTGGGAATCAAACCAGCTACCCTTTGCTTCACAGGCCCGTGCTCAATCCACTGAGCTATGCCAGGCAGGTTAAAGGCACAATTTTCAAATTCCATTTTAAAAGGGCTTTAAAATGTGTTTCATATCCGAGATTAAAATCAACCTTCAGTGAAAGGTTAGCTCCCAGTTCACAGTAATGTTTTTAGGCGAGTAAGCATAGGGAAAAAAAAAAAGACATCTCCGGGACTTAGGTTTTAAGAGGAAATAACAAACACAAACCCTGGGCCAATGCTTTCATCCGCATCTACCTCCGAGACACCTCGATCTGCTCCTCCCGTTCAGATGTTGATCTGGTCCTGCCTGTGAAGTTGGTTTCTGAAGTTTAATGAAGACTCTCAGACAAGGTCTACCTTTCCTCAGTGAGGGTCTATAATGCACCTTTAACAAACATTAGAGGACAACTTTGAACTGACGCTACTGGCCGCTATGGATGGATGCCCAGCGGAGACTGTTGACACCTGAGCGAGGTAAGCCAACAGAATGCTCCCTTGAACGTGATTTGTAGGTCACTAGTTCCTCAGAAAGCTAATAACCTTGACTCAAAAGAGAGGCCCAGGCTCAAGCGGTTCATCAAGGTGAGGACAATGTCCCTGTATTACAGGGTTTTCCAGTGCCTTGAACACACTGGCTCACCGGCAAACTCTAAAAGGAACACAGCATTTCCAGACTTATGTGCGCCCTCCTACACCTCTTTGGTAAGATATCTCAAAAAGTTTTGGTCCCTAAAGCACACATTAGAATGGGTTACACTGACCTTTCTATTTTTCCTAAGCTCTTTTACTCTAGACCAAGTTATATCACCAAGTATCTGTTTGCACACCTAAACACTTTCAAAGCTTTAGCTAAATTACAATTTATCACCCAGCCATACATTTTACTATTTATATTCTAAGGGGGAAAAACATGGTTTTGTGTCTTTTGGAAGAACCACAATTTAACCCTATCAAGATATGCAGTGGACTTTATGTTAAAAAAACAAACAAACAAGAAAACCTATCCGATTGACTCCTGAGAAACTAATACAAAAAAAAAAGCTGATCTTTCCTAAAAAACTGAGTTCATTTTAACCTGATAATCACGCTCATACACTCTATACTTCCCTGTTTGCCTTGGCTGCAGAAGGCTTAGGATTCAAGTTTATGTTCAACGCTCAGGACCTATGCCAGATTAGAAATGCAGTCTTTCTTCATTTCCCTAGATGATTTTTTTACTTCAGAGTTATTGCTCGACTTCTCCAGCCTGTAGATTTCTACTACACACTGAGACCTTTTATTAAAGTAAATATAAAGTAAGGCTACTCGCCACTCAGGCCAGTGCTGCTTTCCCCAGAACAGCCCTGCCCTTTCTAAAAATAGCACTGACGTCAGTGAAATCACTGTTCCTTCAGAAGATCACCGTACATTCAGTCCCAACAGGAGTCCCACAATTTCTATTTTAGTAGCAGTTAAATCCCTGTGGGGAAACATACGAACTGTGGAGTGCGAATAACCTGAGCTAATCAAAAGAGAACTTGCACATGGCAAATGTGAAGCGGAAAATCATTTTTTCTCTTCTCGTAATTAAACAGATCACGTGGCCTGAACGTGAAGAATAGTCCTGACAGGCAGCCATGTCCTTGAGAAAAAGGCATCGTTTGAAACTATGAAACGCTATACCAACATACAACACCAGTTCATCTTTCTGTGGAAAGATTTTGAGAAGTCAGCATGCCATAAAAAGAGGGGGAAAGAAATAATTACTTTGACCACCAAATCAGAGGCCAGCACTTCCTTGGTCCCCTGGATCTGGGCGCCGGCTGCTCTGTAGTGATCGTCTGAGAACTTGGACGCCTCACCGGCCCCCGACTCCACAACGACATTGAAGCCCTGCTTGACCAGGGCCTGGACGCCGGCAGGGGACAGGGCCACTCGCTTCTCATTTTGGAAAATCTCCTTGGGGACTCCCACGGTCAGTTGCTTATATGGAATTCCTACAAAGCCCAAAATAAGAAAGAAAGAAGGAACATTTGGTAAAAAAAAAAAAAAGTTTCAATAACAGTTCATAAAATAGATATGAGCAATCTCTTCAAAATACCCTGTCCAGACAAATGACTGCTCAGAATAATGTTCTTGATTCAGAATCATGGTCCTTTGACCTTCTTTCAATTGATAAGAAGTTTTTATGCCCACTCTCCTGAAAATTCTAAATATTTTATTTAACCAAATGCCTCTCTTCAAGGTACGTGATGGCTTATTTTATTCTTACGGAAAAAAAAATGGGTTGAGAGACCACTCAACATGCTAACCCCACTCTTCAAATTAACCCTCTCAGGTTTATGGTCTCCTTGTTCTTACTTTGAAGGAAGACAGACGAGTAATTAGCTGTTTTGAAGACCAAGCCTATACTGGACACCCAAAGTTACCCTCCTGGCATTTTGGCCACAGGTCATGCCTCGTTGATTCCCAAGTGATGTATCCAGAGACCTTACATTCTCAGCCATGACTCATTAGACCCAGGGACCAGCAGCTGGGCCAAAGGTAATAGTCTCCAGGCCAGACATGATAAAACTGGCAGCCGACAAGGTAACAGATACAGGAGCTTTGCCAGGGGCCACCCTATGCTGGCCAGTGACCACCCACCCAATCAGGTCCTCTGTCGAGATGTTTGAGGAGAGACCCGCAGAAAAGGCAGAGGGAGTCGAATAGTGTGGCGGCGACCAGGGAGCACAGCCGCGGGGTCAGCAAAGGGGGGTGGGCTCGAGGCAGTGGGAACAGAAATATCGGCAGTGGAGAGGCAGGGAGAGAAGGTAAGTCACAGCCACGGAATTGAGAAGGACATCCCACTCCTCCGAGAAGCGGCCGAAGGGCTCCCTGGGCTCCCACACGTCCCAGGAGCCCTTGCACTAAACCCTCGTCACTACATATAAGTGGGCAGGGTTCCGTGTGATGCAGAGTTAACACACTCACGCGTGGCTCAGACCAGCTTTAGCTCAAGTACATAGTTTCTTCTGTTCTTGTATTCCACAGGGGCACACGCAGGGTTTTTTTAATGAACAGGATTTGCTTCCACATAAATCTTACTGAAGTTTAGGAAATCTAGCAAATCAAATGATCTCTACAGAGTAACTAACTTACTGAGACCTTAGAGAGCTTATGTCAGCCTAGAAATATCTGCATTTGAACAGCCGTAGATTCCACGGCACTGAAGCAGTGATAATGGAGAGGAAACTCAAGGCAAATATACACTGCACCTTACACTTTACTTGAAGGAGAGGCAAATAGTGAAAAGCCGGCAAATATTCCGGACTAATGTACAAAATTAAATCACAGATACTCACCTAGAGTTCACTGATGTAACGATCTCGATTATCTAGGCCCTACATACCATACATCAAAGAAGATACAATCAAAGAAAGACAATCAAGATCACATCAAAAGGATTTAGGAAACAACTTGAAATGGCCAGATATGACAAAATTTGAGCATCGAAAAGAATAATTAATTGCAACACAGTAAAATACATCCAAGGCCCTGGCTGGTGTGGCTCAGTGGATGGAGCACCGGTCTGCAAACTGCAAGGTTGCCAGTTGGATTCCCAGTCAGGGCACATGACCGGGTTGCGGGCCGGTCCTCAGGTGGCGCTATGTGAGAGGCAACCGATCAATGTTTCTCTCACACATCGATGTGTCCCTCCCTCCCTTCCCCTCTCTCTAAAAATAAATAAATAAATCTCCAGAAGAAGAGAGAAAACAACGACTTAAAAATAAAATACATCCAAGGATGTGAAAATACATGAGTTCGTGATGATACTCAAAAAAATAAAATAAAATAAATACTTTGCAAGAGCTTCCTCGGTCAACTTCGGAGGCAGGAGTGTGTGACAGGCAGGACAACAGTCTCCCAAAGAGACCCACTCCTGATCCCCAGGACCCGGGACTACGTCGCAATACACGGCAAAGGAGAAGGGAGTTGAAGTGCAGGTGGAACTAAGTTTGCTGATCAGATGACCTTGACATAGGGAGATTATCCTGTACTACCTGGGTGTGCCCAAAGTCATCACAAGGGTCTTTAAATGAGAAAAAAGGGGGCAGAAGAGTCAGTCGAAGAGTAATTTGAAGATGCTCTGCTCCTGGCTTTGAAGATGGAGGAAGGGGCCATGAGCCAAGAAACGCAGGCGGTCTCCAGACTCTGGCAGGGTCACGGAGCCGGGGTCTCCACAAGAGGCTCCGGAAGGAGTACAGCCCTGCCCACACCTTGCTTGAAGTCCAGTGAGAGCCATTTCAGACTCAGCTTCCAGAAGTGTAAGACAATAAACTTGGGCTGAAGGAAGCCAGTTGGATTGTGATCATTTGTTACAGCGAGAATACTCACATAAGGTTTTGCCACCAAAACCAGTAGTAACGGGAAAGAATCAACACCTACCCCACCTTCCCACTGCAATCGCAAGGTGGCTGAACAGCAGAGGGAAAGTTGTGCTCTACAGAGAAAGCCTGCCTAATAAACAAAGGAGGAATGAGGGAATATCACCGATTGAAAACCCCGATGAAACCAAGGATCTAGTGAGTAATCATCAATCAAACGGCTGTGATAGCCTTTGAGGGAAAAACTGGTGGGGCTCCATAATGGATGGATCGCACTGACGTCTAAACTCACAGACTGGCCTTCCTGACACGACCCAGAGGATAGTGCACAGTGTCACCCAGGAAGCATCCTCGCAGAAAAGCCAACCCCAACTCTGATCCAGCCTTCAGATCTGGCTGAATGTTGCAGAAAACACAAGGCCCAGGGAAAGTGGGTGAACCACGCCAAGGGAATACAGCCAGGCAAACCTGGAACGTGAGAAGTTCTGTAGGGTGACAAGTGAAGTCTTCAAGAAATAAAAGGAAAAAAGAGGAGGGGAACATATAAATCAAATGGGACCTAACGACATAGCAAGCCAATACAATATGTAGACCTCGTTTGGCTTAGTACTTGGACAAAACAACTGTGCAAGGGAGGAAGGGAGAGAAGGAGAGAAAGAAAGAAAAAGATGGAAAGGAAAGGAAAGGAAAGGAAAGGAAAGGAAAGGAAAGGAAAGGAAAGGAAAGGAAAGGAAAGGAAAGGAAAGGAAAGGAAAGGAAAGGAAAGGAAAGGAAAGGAAAGGAAAGGAAAGGAAAGGAAAGGAAAGGAAAGGAAAGGAAAGGAAAGGAAAGGAAAGGAAAGGAAAGAAAAGGAAAGAAAAGGAAAGAAAAGGAGAAAAAGAAAAGAAAAGAAAAGGAAAGGAAAGAAAAGAAAAGAAAAGAAAAGAAAAGAAAAGAAAAAAAAAGAAAAGACTGAGAAAATATAAACACTGGAATTACTTTTCATGCTTTTCCATGTGATAATGAAATTGTGGTTTTATTAAGGAAAAAATAGAATGCTCATCTTTTAAAGATTAAAAAGTAATTACCTAGGAAATAGTCCAGAGTCAGAGCCTGAACAAAAATAAAGTCTCATACATAATACAGAGGTCTTGATGGCCACACATGACTCACAAGGACAACCGTCCTGTCCTCAAGGCAGTTAGTTAATTTTATACACAATTTCACCCCACTGGATAATACGGCTTTCTAGAAAACTTGTTTGAATATCTGAAGATAACACTCAGGACCCCCGGGCGCAGGTGTCCTGAGCAGGGTGACTCGGCACATGAAAACGAGCGGCTGTGGCATCTATTACAGGCAGACAGGAGAATTCCCAGGCCCAGGAACTTAGGGTCCTTAATGTACAACAAGCAGCCTGTGAACCTAAATTTAAAAGGGCCCCCAGGTATCCATCCTGTCCCCCCACCTTATGAACCAAATGTCACTTTTAGATGAGAATGTTGCCATCTGGAAAGAAGACGAGATGTCCACATGTCCCTGACCACTACAACTGGCCACCGTCTGAGGTCTGGCCAGTGAGAGGCAGACCAGAGTGCCGGCGTGGTCTCTGGGTGACACGCTCACAGGGATCTGTCTGACCGTGCTGAGAAGGGCCCCCTTTAGCCTTTCCTCCTTCTGGCCTGCACCCCAGAACAGAAGGCGGGGGAGGTGCGGCAGTTCTAGCCTTGTAGACCACCCACCGGAAGGCTCCAGGTGCTACCCTGCCTGAGCTGGGAAGCCAGTGACAATTTCTGAGCAGAAGATGAACGTCACTGTCACACAGAGAACAGACTGTGGGGGGGACAGAGGTAGAGAGCCCAGAGATCCTTCAGAAAAGTAGCACAGGAGTCGAGGTGACAGGTGACGGGGGCTGGGCCCGGAATGGTAACAGTGCAGACGGTGAGAAGGGGACAGGCTCTCGAGACCAGGGACAGCTGGGAGCACCTACAGGGAGCATCTAGGGCAGAAGTCCGAGGGTTAGGGCCCGAGCACCTGAGACGAAGCTGCCACCTGCTGAACGGAGAGACGCGGCTGCAGAAGAATTCGCGCGCTCCGTCCCTCCGTCCTGGGTGCAGGTGAGCCATTCATGGCAGGGAAGGGGCTGCCAGGAGAAGGGGTCACCATGGACGCTAACTCCCAGGGTTCGACTCTACTGGCTGGCCCTTTTTCTTATTCTATCAACTTCCCTTCTCCATTAGCACTGACAATCTGGAACTTCTGTACGTGGAAAATATAAGAAAGTACTCAGAATGATCACTCGCGAGCACCGGGCTGTAACACATGGAATTTCCTTTTCTCAGCCATTAGGAGACGGTTCGCTCCCACCACTCAAAGGCTCGTTCCATGTACATTGAAGTGAGACCTTACCTTGATTTACAGGGGATTTATTCCACAGCGCCTGATGAGTATGAAATGTTCGTAAAAACTCCTTCTTCCCAGGTAGAACCTTACAGGACCCAAAACCGCTAAGTAAAGGACACGAACAGCCAGTGACCACTGTTTTCAGCAGGTTCGCCATGTTCATACGAGCTCCCGACCTTCCGAATCCCCAATTTTCTTGAAGGTAAATCACTAAGAGGAAAGAGGATAAAATATTTATGTGCCGAAAAAATATACTTTCTTTTGAACATCAAAAACATAGAAACATACTTCTCCAAAGAGCTGGGAATAAGTTATACGTGGAAACCTACGATGAATTTCTTTGCCGAGTCTTTTACTCACAGAAGTTTGTTTCCAGTTCAGGTATTTAGAACATGCAATCCACTTCCCCACTTAAATTGTAATTATAACTCATATTCCGTTCCGAGCCTAGTCACATGACTCTAGTTGATTCTTAATGTAGCTGGAAAGTAAAAATAAAAATGCTATAGAGCCAGTCTCGTCTTCCACGAAAGTTATTTCTAAGTCTGCACGTCCAGCAAAAATTGCATGTAATGCAAGTTACCCTTAGTTTCCCTTAAACTGACTGAAGCACCACGTTGTACAGAAACACAGCTTCCCGTTCCGTGTAGCCGGCTGCTTGCTCATCCTGTGAAAATCCTCAAACTGAGACTGAATGAAGACGCAGGTTCAACAAGTACACCTCGCAAGAAAATTAAACTCGTGTGGGATATGACTCCAATTTTAAAAAAGAGGGGAAAATTCCAGCTTGGGCTTGCAGATCGGGGTGTGACTCGGGGTGTCCTCTGCCTGTGGTGCTCACAAGCGGCCACTTCTCGCCAGCTCGAACTAGGCTGGGTGCAGCGTCATTGACCTTTGCTGTTACTGACCTAGGCCTCAGTGGCCACCTTCCCTGCTCTCCATAGCAGATTCCCAGGGGTTCATGGAAGGCCCCCCCTCCACCCCCAGGATTCCCAAAGTTCCCCATCCTTCTTTCTTTTGCTTCCGAATTGGGACAAAGCAGAGGACCTGAAACTCTGTCAGTCGTGCTCCGCTGACGCTGCCAACTGTGCCTCACACTCCATTCCACCATGTGGGCCCCTGAGGCACCCAGCACCCAACCACAGGTCACTCCATACACATTTCCCCAGCCTCCCAAGGAAGAAGGGTCTAGCTCCTTTTTAATTTCAGAACTGCTACCACAACTTCCTAAAGCAAACTTCTTGCAAATACCAGAAAGAAACACTGAGAATGGCAATCCTCGGTCCAAACCTGACCCTTAAGAAGTCTTTAATTCAACAACTCTGCACTCAGGGCTGGGTTTCCGAGCCACTGCCACCGAGAACATCTGAAGACTCAAAGTGGTCAGGTCACAAGCTTGGAGATAAGAAGAGTCAACAAGCAACAATGCCACAAAGCAGAGTAAGGCAAGTCCAAAGTTCTCGGAGAGACCAGATGAGATAATATCCTCCTACAGAGCTCAGAAAGGAAGGAAAAAGCGTTGGAGATGGAGACGGCAATAGGAACAAAAGCTATGGCAGAGGGAGCATGCGAGATGTGTTCAGGCGTGCAAACAGAAATATATACAAATAATTCTTTGTATTTGAATGGAAGGTTTAATATTTTCAGAGTGTTTCCACATACATCATTTCCTTTCAGTCCTAAAGCATTCCTGAGTCCCATAATACCCTCCTCATTCATTCGTAGGTCACTTCTAGGGTTATCATGGCTGAGGATGGACAGCAAGTAAGTTCAATAGTCAGCCACTCATTCCAAACAGTCCCTGAATCTATGCTAAGACCCAAGGGAGATACAGAGGGAGACTGTGTCCTAGCATTGTCAATGACCTGGTCCTCCCCTAACCCTCCCACTCACCCCAGCTCCCCAACAACGCGGTTTTCTTGGGCTTGACAAGGCTTGCCCAGACCTCGTCAGCAAAGAAACAGAGCTAGTCCTACTGGAGCCCAGACACTGTCTGTCTGCCACTCACACGCTCTGACCTGAGCATGTGCCTCGATCTGCTCCTCCACGAAAAGAGCCTAGGAAGGCTGACGCATTCGGGTCTGGAAATCTTGTGATCGCCATATTTTGCCGTGTCTAAGGCATCCCTACCTGTGATGCACGCCCACATTTTTGGCCCAAACTCTCAGGGGGAAAAAAAATCTTTCATTTTCATTTTTAATTAAGTTATTCACTTACTTATATTTAGATACTTTTTTTTGTATTATGAAGGAATTTTAGCATTTATTTTTTTAACGTATTACAGTGCAAAAAATTTTCGGTAACAAATAATTACAAAACACAGGAACAGATACAAGGTACTTCAGGTACTACCCATGTATAATATGCACCCTTATTTTTCTCTCAAAAATTTAAGCAAAAAAAAATGCACATTATACACAGCAAAATATGGTAGATGAGATTCTGCAATGCTTTAAAGCTGAAGCCCTGCTGCATGGCCTGGAGTCTGGAAAGGTTCTCTTGCCTATTTGGAAAATGGTAGTTTGATGCTGAGCAGGTTCCTGGCACCAGAGGTCAACAGGGCCAGAGCCTTCAGAGGTCAATTTCTCCCCAAAATTCCACCAGCTTCAAGTTATGAACATACAGCAAAGTCGGTGATCAAGAGAAGCTTATTGTCGAGAGCAGCCCTAAGCCTAAATCGAATACAAACGACCCTGAAAAACATTCAGAGAACACATATTTGAGCCACATTCCCACAGGCTGGTACTTGTTACCAAAGAGAGTATCCCATCCCATAACTATCCAAAGACAGTAATTGTCACATTGCCCCCTCTCTTCTCGTCAAGCTCTCTGCTGTTTTATTACCCGTGTGCTTCTACAGCTTTCCAGCAACAGGGGAAACTTCACAACTCAAAACTGAAATAAAAGGTGGGGGTTCGTGTGGTATTCACAGGGCCCCCTTGAATGTAAGCTGTTTGGGTAACTATCTTCCCTCACTGATACTAAATGCCTTGAGGACAAGCACCTGAGAGAGAGGTGCCCTGAGAGGCTGAGAAGGTGCACTGTGGACTGGAAGCCCCCACTCCACACACGGTATGCCGGATGTGGGGCCTTGTCAACTTAGGCACTTAACTTCTCTATACCCAACTTCCTCACCTTTAAAATGGAAATAATAGTAATAGCACCTACCTTATAGGATTGTTGTGAACTAGTGTTACTCACTCTGGTACTACCTCTGGCCCAGTGCTTTGCACAAAACAGAGGAAGTCAACAAGTACTTTCTGACCCAGTCAGTGCGTGAGTAACTAGGGCTCGGACCCTGAAGCAGTCTCAGTGTGGGGAAGCAGTGGGGATCCGTGGAACGCAGTCTCAAAGGAGTTTCAGGAAATTTCGTTTGAAAATAAAATGCTGTGTAGCCTTGTGGAAAATTATTCCCATTAGCAAAAGCAAGCCGCCTGGGCATGCTTGATGATAAGAAAGTAATTCTAAACTGTCCATTCAGTTTTTTTTAAAAAGCAGCCGAGATTTGGAGATTTGCACGTTACAGGGGCGCGATGGAGAAGAGGGGCGTATTTCAAATAAAAGTAGCCACGCAAACCCCACCTGCCGGAATGGAGCCTGTCCTTACAAGACTCCTCAAAACAGATCACTTAAGGACTGCCCAGCATCATGGGGCGAATAAAGGACGCCTACACCCGTAAACAAGTCCTGCCTTTGCAGCGGACAAACCAACCAAGGACGAAATACCCTGCAGAAGTTCGGGCTAGCAGGCGGCGTGACCTTGCCCAAACCCACCAGTACCGCCCCTTGCTAGGCAACTAAACTGCCATCAGTTGGCATCTGCCTGGGACCGCTATTTATAACCTTCCCCCAAAGCCCATTGGCGGAGGCTGCACAATGTCATTCCGCCCCCAAAGTTCAAATCCCCCGCCTGCCCCCCGCTGCCTCTTCCTCCCTCCAGCCCAGCCCCGCTCATAGCCGCCTAGAGGTTTGCCCAAACCACCATTAGCCCTCCCTGACATACACTCACTATTTCCTCTGGACACCTATGTCTCCAGCCAGTCACCCACTCCGAATCCCATTAAGGTGCAAGAGAAATTTCGGGGCATCCAGCTGCCACCCCTCTTACTGCGCCCCTACCAAAAGTCCTCTGTGACCTCCCGCCCGTCTCCCATCTGGCTGGCCGAAATGATCCCGTGCAACTCCGGCCTCCCCATGGTGTCCCAAGACCTGTACCTGCACAGCTGCCGCCCTGTCCCCTGCTCTCTGCAGAGACCCAGTTTCAGAATCCACCTCCCGCCGGCAACAAGAGACCAGAAAGGGCGCTCATCAAGCACCGTTCTACTCCTGACCGGAGAGTCCCGCGGGCTGGCGCCGGGTCCCTGCCGACCCCGCCCCCTTCTCCTTGACAGGTCTCCGTCCCTGGGGGCCCGGACAGTCGCGCGGAGAGCCCTGCGCGCCTTCTCCAACTGCGCTCCCCAAGCTGCGCCCTAGGCGCGCACCCGCGCCGCCCTGCTCACCTCCGCGGGGAGGCCTGGCCGTCGCGGGCGGTGCTCAGGGGACCGCGAGGGGACGCCGCGCTGGCCGACCCGGGCTCGCGCCCCGCGCCGCTGAGTCTCCAACCCGGAAGAACAGCCCCAAACGGGCAGCGGCGGCCACGTGACGGCGACGCAGCACCCACCCGGCCCGCTCCCGGCCCCGCTTCCCGGCCGGGGGGACCCAGCTGCCCTCCCGGCCCGCTCCACCGATCCTCCGGCCCGCAAAGCGACCTCACCAAATGCCTGCGCAGAGCGCCAAGGCCAGGTACCCCAGAGGGCCCTGCACTGTCCTCGATGGAAGCCGAAACCTCTTTGTCTCCGCTTTCCCTCGGCCCCCCGCCCCGCCTCCGCGGTTTCCCTCTGCCGGTCCTTGTCAATCAAACCTGGAGCCAAACCCGGTGCTGAGGTTTTCAGGCTGCTTTTGACCTCTCCCTGGAGAGCCAGTTACAGACTGTGATTTCCTCTCCGGTGTCCCACCAGAACAAATAAGAGGATAATAGAACTCCGTTCTCGGTACCCGACTTCCCTCTACCTCTCCAGGAAAAATCAGAATTTCTGTAACGGGATAGGACCAAAAAGAGAGTAGAAGGAAGCCAGGGGCTGGCGAAGGGCTGGGAGGGTTGCACTGTTTTTCTGTGCTGGCCAGAGAGGTAGAGTTAAGTTCCTTGGAAAAGATATCGGGCCCAGACGATAGCACAGTCTGCAAACTCATTGTCCAAAGGGCGGCCCAGAGAACTCCACGTGCTTGGTTAATATTAATAACCATCAGGTGGAGAGGGCCCTTGGTGGGGCGTTCAGTATCCTGACCAGGCCTAGGCTGATTTCAACAAAGCTCCTAGAGGACTCCAGAACTCCATGACTTAACTGTTCTTTGCATAGAGTTCTGTTACTTAATCTGCAGACGTCTTCTGGTTGAAAGTAGGAGGAATGAAATGCAGAGTATGAAATGGCACATCTACCCTAAAGCGGAATCACCAAGCCTCTGGAAGGTATGGCACTGTTTTTTTACTTTAATTGAAATATCTAAGGTGACTGAAAGAATGGTGAATCAAAAACAGATATTCCATATTCTTAAAAAGAAATATATTACAGAGAAACACTTATACGTTGAGGACATCTCTTGTGTTTAACCTTCACAAAGGTCATTCAACTAATGGACCCTCACCTCCCTCCATACTGGGCGAAAGATTATCCTTGTCCTCAAAGCATTCCCAGAGGGGAGGAGACGCAGCCAGGTGTTTTAAAATAGTAGTGAACCACGTAAGTGCAACCGTAGGGATGGATTCAAGATGCTGCAGGTGCGATGAGTCAGGAGTAACTGATAACGGTTGAAATTAAGCTCGATTCACAACATATATAAGTCACATCATTATGCTATGTATACCTTAAATATATACAGTACAGTATGTCAATCATTTCTCAATAAAACTGGAGGGAAAACTAAGTTTATATTAATGTGTGTGTGTGTGTGTATGTGTATGTGTGTATGTGTGTGTCGGGGGTTTGCTTCTTTTCAAAGCTTAAAAATCAGTGGTTCCTACTGGGGACAGTTTTGTCCCCTGGTATTGTTACAGAAAACAACTCAGCCGCTTTCGGGTGTACGGAGTGGAAGTTTATTTTCACACGCGCAGACCCAGAGGAGTCCGTCTCCAAATTCTGGGCCCCAATCAGTGGGGAGTAATGGCTTATATAGGGTGAGGGGGGCAGTCTGTCACTCGGACCCTTACTTCTGGCGAGAAAGCGGAACTGCTGATAGGAGTTAATACAAATTTCTTTGTTCTTACTCCTCAGTTACTTAGTTACTTGCTCTCCCTGATCCTGTCGACTCAGCGGCTCGCTCCCCTCCTGGGCAGGCCACTACAGTATCTGTAGGCATTTTGGTGATCACTACTGTAAAAGGGAGGGATCTAGCGGGTAGAAGCCAGGGATGCTGCCGAACGCACTACATCACACAGGACAGCTCTTTTCCACACAGGACAGCCCTTTACAACAGAGAAGCATCGACCCAAAAAGTCAGTAGGTCTACAGCTGAGAAACACTCAAATAAATGTTCAGTGCATTATCTACTTATGATCATACCACATGGCACAACTCCAAAGATGACAGACAACTCTTCACTTATTCTGCTAATGTACACCTATGGTAATTTTAAAAATTTATCCCATTCATTTGTCCAACAGCATTTGGGTACCATTGCTCCAAATGAGAACATTTGTCACTCGGAAGGTTTTGTTTTAGGCCCTAAGCTCCTACATAGTAATTACAACATACACGAGTCCCCAGAGAAAATTGGATTAAGTTCCAAAATTGGTTAGTTGCTTCTGAATCTTCACCACTGTCTTGTATAAAATTTTGGCAAAGATTGTGTATCCCCACCGAGGTGGGAGGGCTTTGTCCAGTTTGATGTCTGCTCCTTCCCCGTCGGCTTCACCAGCCACCAAACAGTAACACTCACGTGTGTGCAAGTGTTCACGACACCTTGTTCTATGATTTGATACTTAAAATTTAAATATATTTCAAAATTAGAATATACCTTAAAATTTAAGCCCTCTTACACTTAGGAGACTGTGCACCCACAAGTGCTTAAAGAAAGTATAATCAAAAGCAAAAAAGGTAAAATCTTGAGAGGAATATAACACACCAGTAGGCTCTGTTTTGAAGCCTCAAACCAGGGAGGTGTCCAAAAGCTGAAAATCAACATGTACACCGAGCCTGAGAAGATACAAGACGAAAACTGAACTCCGACCGCATGTCGCCAACTCCCTGCCAAAACCAGGCCAGAGAAGGAGTCATTTAATGTGTGTTCATTGTGATGATTAGGGTACACAGTTTATCAGCAGCTTATTGTTTCCAGCTTCCTTTTTATAAGTAATTGTTAACAAAGTGAACAATGTCAATGTGACAGATGCCGGGGTTTTTAATAATGCAGACACTTGTCAGACTTCCAGGCAACTGCTCAACCTCAACCTCAGTGCTCTTCTTTCTCCCAGGAAGACTAGTCAGGGGTGTGTTTGCTCTGAGGAAGCAAACGTTAACCAGCTAAATGCACGCACACAAATCAACATCAATTAGTTAATTCATTAGTTAGAGACTTCAGGAGAACTGACAATCAGCCAACACAAAGTTAAATAATTGGCAGTTTAAGTTATTTAAGGAAAATCAGTTTATATTTAGACTTGTTATGAGATCTAAAAACTAGCTCTTAGCCTACCTATGTGGATATTTTTCTCTCTGTATAGTAAGTGCCAATAATAAAAATCTATGTTTTTTGCCCTGGCTGGTGTGGCTCAGTGGACTGAGTGCCGGCCTGTGGACCGAAAGGTCACCAGTCTGATTCCCACTCAGGGCACATGCCTGGCTTGTGGGCCAGGTCCCCAGGAGGGGGCACTGGAGAGGCAACCACACTTTGATGTTTCCCTCCTTCCCCCCCCCCACTCTCTCTAAAAGTAAATAAATAAAATCTTTTTTAAAACTCTATGTTTTTATGAATATAAAAAGTTATTTAATAATACCTTTGAGGGGCTGGGAAGATGATGAGGGACAGAGGCTGTATTCATTCCTAGGGCCACTCCAACAAATGACCAGAAGCTTCAGGGCCCGAAACAGCAGAGATGATTGTCCCTCAATTCTGGAGGCCAGAAGTCCACCATCGAGGTGTCGGCCGGTGGAGTCCCCGACCTCTCTGAGGGGGAAACTGCCCCACGCCTCTCCTCCAGCTTCTGGAGGGAGCTGGTTGTCGGGATTCCTGGTGCTCCCTGCCTCGCAGGCACATGCTCCCGCGTCCGCCTCCTCGTCATGTGGCCACCTCCCCTGTCTGGGCTTCTGTACCCAAATCTCCCTCTTCTTTCTCTTCGAGAGACACCAGTCAGGGGATGTAAGTTTCACCCTAAATCCAGGACTATTTCATCTTGAGATCACTGAGGAAGTCAAGCTGGGGCCTCAGTCCTGAGGGTACTTATCCGGAGGTCCCAGGGGAGGATCCAAGAGATTTTTCATCAGCTTTCAGGTGTGTTCTTTCAGGGCCATGGTCTGCACTGATTGGCCGGCTCCGGGCAGGGGCCATTAGTCGATGTGGCTGGTCCTGAGTTCAGCCAAGGCATTGCTTGTCTGTTTTTGCTGCTTTTCTGGGCCTGGAGCTGAGACATAACAGAGGCCTAGATGTATCCCATGCCGGTCAGAACCTCATTGTCCTGGGGGCTTCATGCTTAAGGTCTATTCTCTGATCCCTTGTTTGTTCCCCTTCTGGGGGGGGGTCTAACCCACGTGACTAGCAGTGTCCCAGGGGAGGACGGGTCAGGGGAGGGTCCAAACCACATACCCAGTCCTAGGAAAGGTCAGGGGGTCTAAACTACACGACCAGAGATATGCCAAGGGAAGAAAGGTCACCCTGGGGGTGAGGCTCCAGCCCAGCTTTGCCCCTTGCTGGCTGCCCTGGGCTTTCTGCCCTCATGACCTTCTGTACCTAGCCCCTCGTCCCTGCTCTGTTCTTGTCTGTCTAATGCCTACCACCTAAAAAAAAAATACACACGCACATATATATACACACGCATATATAACCATATCAGACTACTTTATTATAAAACCCCTTAATTACAATTACCGTGCTTATATTTAACTTTTTAAATATTGCATTTGATGAAAACTCTAGTTCATATATGTTTTAAACAGTTTTGTGAAACATCTCTTCATAGATTTTTTAAAATTGTATTTACTGATTTGAGAGAGAGATGTGTTCTTCCACTTCTTGATGCACTCATTGGTTGCTTCTTGTATGTATCCTGACTGGAGATCAAACCCACAGCC